CATATCTCTTTTAGAAGGGACAGCCTAAGATCGTGCTGCTCTGATTAGCACTTCTTATACCAATCTGATTTTAGTTCTGATAATTTAAATAAGCATGAGGCCATTAACTTGAAGCTGTGTGTATGTGTGTATATATATATATTTCAAACTGAGGATCCTCCTGTCTCAGCCTTCTTTGAGGCTGGGATTACAGGCATGTACCACTACTCCCGGCTCCATATTTTCAGTTCTTACATAATCAACTTCAACAATAAATAAAGAAACTAAAACCTAACTTAGAAGTATAACAGATAGCAGGACTTCAGATGATCACAAGCAATCAACTCATCCCCCCATGCACAGATAAGGCAGATAAATTATTGTAGCCAATCAGAAGATTTCTTCGTTTCTATGTTTGGCCTATTAAAGGTCTCTGCTCATGTTGCTGTGGGGGTCTCTAAATCTGTTCTGATTCTGAGTGTTGCCTGATTCATGAAATATTCTTTGCTAAAATAAACAGTCAATTTTAATGTGTCTAAACTTTGTCTTTTAATAGTTATAGAGCTACAGTTACATTAGAGAAATAGGTCTCTTAGCAGTTATATATTACAAAGTAAATAATTCATCATTTGTCTGTGAGCTGATTAAGGGAAGAGATGAAGTGTTTTTCACCACTGAATCCCAAACATCCAGAGTAATGCCTGGTATGTAAAAGCTCCATGAATATATTACCTTCAATGAGAAGAGATATTTTATATTCACATAATGCTTCAGAATGCATTTCCTATCTCAAATCTGCCAATACATTTTAATTGGCTAGTTTATCTCAGGCTCTATTTTTCAAATGCAAAATAACAATAATTAAGACCATCTTTGTAAAAGAAAAATGAAAATATGCCGTATATTTTAAGAAAACAGCCAAGAACACTATTCTTCTTGACCTAGGAATATCAAAAGTTGAATAATTTGTTCTTTCAAAGTAGAAAAATCAATTGAACATCAACAATTACTTTTTTTTAAAGAAAAAGAGATAGATTAGCAGGAGCCCACAGTAATGTTATCTATTTTTCAATGAACTTCAAATTTCAGTTTTATTCCCATTTCTTCTTTGTGCATGGTCTAAAAAAATCTATTAACTCTAAACATAAGGGAAAGTCTTAGGCACTGTGCAAAGTAAGCTAAAGTGTATCCTAAGGAAAACTTACAAATTCTTTGTTTTCTTTTGGATGAACCTTTTAAAAGTAAATGACATAGGTAATTAATTTGTTCCTGGGTATTGGTTATCAACTCAAAGACCTAAGAATTTGGATGTCCCCATTGAAACTCAAAGAATATGGATAAAATAACTCATTTCTTTTGCTGACTTGCCTGTATTTTTTTGAATGATAATTAGGAATTAAACTGTTACAAACGTAAGCCTAGTTTCACATGATGACTTGCATTGAGCTAGCTCATATACTAATTGAAGGCTGGAACTGTTGTCTCAATATGTGCACATTTCTGAGATACACTCTCAGAAATTTTCCAATGCCCTGAAAAGGTACACATCATCCCATACAGCAGCTTAAAGTTCAGGCATATCTTCAATATTTTTGTTGATGTTTCAGCTTTGTAAAAAGTTGTCCAGGTATAGTATTTTGCATTTGGCTGGTGGTTGATAAATCTTGGTTGAATGAATTGGTATATTCTTATACTGTGTCATTTAGTGCATAAGATTCCAAAATATTTTTATCTTATTTCTATGATTGGAAATAAGATATGGACTCATAGAAGATGAGTTGGGTTCCTCAGCATTACTAGAGTTAGATAAGGGCTTGTCTAGCTGAGTTCTTCTCTACCTGAGATTCTATGAGTTATTAAAAAATACAGTGAGAAAGGCAAGGGATGGTATAGCAAATGGAGCCAGAATTCTTGAATGTTCCCCTAAATGGTTGGCTGCATTACAAGACATTGAAAGAGAATATTTTCTTTCAAGATATTGGAGAGGTTATTTTCCATTGGAGAGAAAATAAATAATCTGTGAAACAAATTGCCCAGTCTTTTTAGTTATCTAATGGATCTATAATGTGGACATTGACCATTAAAATAATTTAAGTTGGAGTGCAACATGAAGTGAGTTCTGGTTATTATCTGTTTCCATGTATAGATCATTTGTTCATGGGGTAGTTTTATGTAGGCTGAGAGCTGGGGAAAGCACAGCTTGAGCTATGACCTGTTCCTGAAACAAGCATCAGTTTACTTGCCTGCAGGTATTATTTCCATGTTTACTTATTCACTCAATAATTTGGAGCTCCTGGTGTGCCAAACTTAAGACTGTGTTGAGTGTTAGGGATACAGAATGCCCAAACCAGATAAAATTCCACTCACTGAGCTAGCTAGAATGGCAGGCAGGCATTTAGTTTGAAAAACACAAAAATGAACAATTATAAATTGTTTGAATCTTAGAGCATGAGGGAGAGAGAGAGTTCAGAGAGAAAGGGGTGGGGGGAGGGAGGGAGAGAGAGAAAATAACAGAGGACTTGATTTTTCTCTTTTAGGTAGCTAATCTGAGGAAGTACAATTCAAGCTTGGATCTAAGATGACCAGAAGTTAATTAGGCAAAGTCTAAGGAGAGCTTTTGAGTTTGAGGGAGAGGCATGTGTGAAGCACTTGAGAGAGGAAGAGATTTAGCACATTTTGTGAATAAATAGAAGGCCGATGTGAATACTGCGGTCAGCAAAGAGGAGTGAAATGAGATGTTCAAGAGGCAGGCGGGTGCTAGATCATGCAGGGCCTGGGTGCTCTGTTAATGATTTTGCATTTTATCCCAAATGCAAAAGGAGAGAGATTTGATCTGTAATTGTAACAAATCACTTTGGATTCATTCTGAATAAGCCAGCTGTACAAGGGGTAAGACCAATTAGAAGGCTGTTGTAGGTGGCAGATGATAGGTGTTTGGTTTAAAGTGGTGGAAGCAAAAGTAGAGGGTAGTGAATAGATTTGAGATGCATTTTGGAGTTAGAATCAATAGGACTTGAAGACAAATTGAATGATGGATACAAGGGCAAATAAGGTATGGAGAATGACTCAAGTTTTTGGTTTGAACAAAGGGTAGATGCATTGTGTCATTTACTGAGGTGGAAAACTATATAAGAGGAACTAAGTGGGGTGAAATCAAGATTTTTGGTATCAGTGTACTAGTCACATGGGCACTAAAATGGGTTTGTGTGTGACTTTTTATATACGATAAAATAAATAATACGATAATGTAAAAAATAAAGAACTAACGAAAACAATTAAAATAGAAAATTGAATTCCCAAAGGGTGGGGGACAGTGGTTCTAGGTGGGGGACTGATATATATCAGAAGTGCTGGGGTCATATAATTAAAAAAAGACATACTCAACATTGTACTGCAATTTTTTAATTTGAAAAATAAGAAAGGAAAGAAGAAGGAAAAAAAATCAAAATATATCCAGGAGGTAGACCCTATAGCTGCTATTTGTTGAATTTTTAAGGAGGGATGCTTCAAAATCCCCAGTGGGATGCAAAGAAACTACTATAACTTTCATGTTCATTTAAAAAAAAAAAAAGCATGGGTTTAAAAAAAAATTCACTGACACTGAACCAGAGAAATAAGACAAAGGTAGAAAAGAGAAATGGATGGAAAATCCTCTCAGTGAGCAAAAATGTCTCTGCCATCATGCCGGTGCCAATGCAGGGCTAAGTTCTGTTGGGGCAGTTGTCACCTGGGTCTGACTCTCAGCTCTGTCATTTGCTAGTGGAAGATCTTGGACAATCAGGTAACTTCTCAAGTCTCAATTTTCTTGTGTTTGTGAAATGAAAATAATGATAACATTTACCACGTAAGGTGACTGTGAAGATTGAAAAAAAATAATTTGTAAGAAGTGCTTTAACAAATAGCTGGCGCAGAGGAAGAGCTCAACAAATTTAAGTCAAAAGTCCTGACTGCGGTGTGACACCCTTTCACTTCCCTCTGGTTGTATTGATTTAATTAATATTCATAAAGTGTTCTGAATTACCAGTAAGCTTTAATTGATTCAAATCAGTGAAAATGCTCCAATTAATTAGTCAGAGTTATGTTTTTAAATTTATTTCTAGAAATATTAGATATAAAATATGTATATAACTCCCCTAGGGAGACCAGTAATTGATGACTAAACTAATTTAAAAATATGTATATAAAGATGAGGTTCTAAAAAGACTCTCTTGTTATATACACTCTACAACCTGTATTTTCTCAGTCCTAGCAATTATTATGAAGATATTATGTCTGAAAACACAACTATATAAGCACCCCTTTATAATATTAAAATTGGGATCTCAATTTAGATAGAATTGGAACTACATTATGGAATATTGGATTCTATTTTGCTTACTGTCCTTTCTGACTTTGGCTACTCTGAATATAGTTTTTTTTTTTTTTAAATCATACACAGGTTATAGAATATTAATGTAGAATTTATGCAGTCTTTAGATTTAGAACAAGTTCTTTATAAATTTAGGCAGAATCAATTAATTCTGTACTTTGGGATATGTTGCTTAATATCTCAAGAGTCAGTTAAATGGTACTAATAATTTAATATTTGAATTAGAATGTTAAATGACAATAATAATATCTATGCCCGACTTACATCTGGGGCATAGTAAGCACTTATTAAAAATTATTAAAAAATATAATTTTCTCTTTCATCCTTCTGTATAAGGGAAATGGTAATAAGTAAATTCCAAAATTAATTGTTCTGGAACAATATAATTAATACCTCATTAAAATGTATGGGAATCAAGAACATGTGGAACATCATGTGATCTTATTTGAACGCTCTGTGATCACACCAAGAAAAAAAAAAAGGCAATGTTCTTAATTTCTCCCACCACACCACAGAAGCAGAACATCTCTCCACTTTGGGGAAGATGTTGCTGTTGTGTGCAAGGAAAGTGAGCAGAGGTGGGTCCTACCCACTCATCCTTGTGGAAGCACATGCAATTCGAGAAGATGAGGTGAGGAAGCGCATGCAGTACCTGGTCATCTCAGAGTCAGGGAGCAGGCCTAGGTGGTAGTGGGGGTAGGGAGCTGAGAGAAGGAAGCTTTTGTCACACTCAACAGGGGAATAGTGCCTGGGAGAAGCAGGCTTATCACACAGTTTGTTCACAGTGCTGTAAACAGGTTCCGGCGGCCTGGTGATACAAGAGGAAGAAAGAGATATGCATGGTCAGCACACACAAGGAATTACCATGCAACCAGTAACATTTCATCAAATGCAAAAGTTAAAATCCAAACCAATGCCATTTACTCCTTGTGTCTTACTAATAAAAGCCAAGTTTTCCATTGGTTACATTTCATATAATAATAAAGATTTTATTCTTAGCCTCCCTTATGGGTAGTTGTAGCCACATTAAAATGTTCAGTCCAATGTTTTGTGGGATTCATTGAATAGCTGCTTATGGAAAGTGATTTAGCTGGGACCTCTGCAATTTTGTTCTCCTCCACTTTCTCCTTCTGTTGACCTGAAACCCAGACATGATGGCTGGTGCTTCATGATCACTTTGGGCCATGAAGCAATCATTAGGATTAAGGAGCACAATAAAGATAGGGGAGCATAAAGGAAGAGCCTGCGTCACTGATATGGAGTGATAATACTGCCTACATATTAATTTCTTTTATGTGCGGTAAAAATAAACCATGTAGTTTAAGCTTGTGTCTTTTTTTTGTTATATAGACAGAACCTAGCATTAAAATATGTACTCTAAAAACTCTTTAGATTGAAAATTTAAAACAAAGAAATAACTGTAGATAGAGCCTATCCCAGTGCTAATACATTTAATTACATTTATAGTCCATGAACACACTATACACAGAAAATGTAATGAATGCTATTTTCTTACTGTGGAATTTAGAGCTTAAAACTGTTCAAAGAATTTACTGCATCCTTATTTTAAAATACTCTTATCCATAAAATAATAGCTGACCTACACTGCTAGCACAGGAGTCTAGAAGAAAGAAATCAATAACTTCTTTTATGTCATAAAACATTTCTATGATGATGTCATTTTAGTAACACCATACTTTGCCTAGAGGTGATGATTCAATTTTCTCAGTCTGATGCTGACTCTATAGACTAAGAAAATGTTATCAATTTTCTTCAACTCCTTTTACCACAATGCCATGTTTAGAAAGGAAATTTTAGAATCGAAACTGACTGATGCATATCTTAAAAAAATTCCTGTATTTATTTGAATTAAGGGAAAAAATTTATTCTTGGAGCATAATAATAGATTCAAGACAATTAAAATAAGGTTCTGTGCTTTTTCCAGTATTAAACTCTTGAAACTTTTACCCATACCTTTTTTGCAAGTGTGAATGGATGTACTACTTATTATGTAAGCCATGCATTCAGGACATTTGGTATTTGTGGCAGGCTTCAACACCTTGGGATTTAGAAAAAGGTATTTCTTTGCTTATAGCTGCTTCTAGAATTCTTTCATAATGGACTGATCACTTTTCTATGCATAATTAGTCATCACTTAAAATCTTATCAATGCAGAGATATAGTTACTGATGTTGCAGGTTCATTTTTACCTGTTATTTTGTCTTCAGTTCCTTCCCTACTAATTTACTTGCTATTTTGTAGAGTCACTGGCTATGTATTAGACATATCAGACCCAGTTTCTTTTCTTGATCATGAGAACACATGATACGATGGGAGCTAGGCCAATGAAAAACTACCAAAACACAAAACAAAACACATGCCACACTCAACCAGGTCCTCTTCGAACCAAACCATGAAATTAAACATATCTGTGAGAATATCCTTTCAAGCATCATATACAAGGGGTTCTTATTTGAAGACTTCCATCCACCAGCTTCTTTATAAGCCTAGAATGCTGTCATATAAGACTCAGTAAGTCCTGTGCAAGTTAGAGTATAAACACAGAAATGACACAGAGTAGGAATTTAATCAATGTTTCTTTGAATGAATGGATAATTTTTTTTATTGTTCTCTAGTGAGAGAAATAAAAAAAAATTCTTATGGTTCTTTCAAGGAAGCCATATATTATTCTGAATCTCTTCATTAGGTTTAAATTTCTTGGACCATCATTCATTCTGACAACCTACAGGAATGAAATACAACCCCAGTATTCTCAGTTTGGAGCTGAAAAGCTCTAAATACTTGATGGTCATAGTTGAACCACCCTCAGGGGGATGGGCTTCATGTGTTTTGAGTCTTGTGGCAATACCTGGTCTGCCCTTGGTTCTAGTAAGGGTCACCCCACGCATAGTGAACCTCAAAGATGTCTCATCCCTGAGTTCCAGAAGGCCTAATACTAGCTAATCAGCATCTTTGTCTTTCCCTGCAATTAATTTTTTCCATGACCTCACTGCAGACAAGAAATGTCAATTGCTATCAATGGGATCTGGGTGGCAGAAACAGATGCTATCATCACTTTGCACTGGGTCTGTACAGAAATGGCACAAGGAGGTGGAGGGGAGAAGATTTTCAGCAGTGTGAGTCAGCCACTCACAATTGAAAGGTCTATTTATTCTATTTTAAGCAACCAGAGGTGAAGGTAATAAACACGGTAAGCCAATACAAGGTGCCCACAGGCTCTTTTTATTCTGTGGATGTCTCCAGAAAGGAGGAAAAGTAGTGAAGATATTAAGTGAAATCTCTAAGTGAATTCATAAACAAATCATTTATCTAGCTGTCTACTTATCAAGGGCCATAGATAAATGATTTTGTAGTCTCATTTGCTGAGCCATCAGCATTTATTTGCATATCTATGGGTTTATAATTGCAGCTCTTATAGCATACAATTAACACACTCTGACCCTTGGTGATTTCTCTTTTCTGTGAACTCCATTAGCACTTGCTATTTGTTCTGCTTTCTTTGCATTTTTAATTGCTAATCTGCAATGCTGGTGTACTGGAGAGAGGATGCTTCATCTCCACCCTACTGTTAAAAAAAAAAAAAAATCTTACCTGCAAATGCCCTTCCCTGCTGCCCCACTTATCTCCAATCCAACTCAGGCCCCTCCTTGGCCAAAGCCGTTTAGGCCTTTGGAGCAGGATTGGGCTCCTACTTCGCATTGATCTAATATTGTAGGGCCCACAAGAAAAAGAAAACAAGACTAGGCCAATTGGATTCTTCTTTGGAAAATGAACAATATGACTAAAGGGGCAGAAAAAGTAGTTGGTAACATAAGAGAAAGTTGCAGACACATAGAAGGTCACTGCAAATTTGTTCACTAATTACAGAGAACCAGAGCTCTACATTCAAAGCTCTATGGAATTTTGTTTTTAAAATACTCAGTGGTTTCTTAGAATCTAGAATAAGTCTTGGCTCATTCTTTAAGGGGGGGCTATTAGGGTTCATGTTATTGAATTTCCCTAATGATTCCTAAATAACACTGGTTGTATAATGAAAATTAACTACCAACCTTCCTCCTTAACCCTTAGGTCACAGATATTTTGCTTGTAATTAGGAATGAAAATAAAATAAATACTCCATTTGTTTATTTTACATTCCTTTTAGATCTCCAAAACTAGACTATGCCACTTAAAGAAGTTGACAAAACCTTGGACCTATGTAATCCCATGGTACCTGAGAGCAGTACAAGACTGATTTTGATATTTTGTTCATTTTGATTATTTTGCATTAATTTTATTTAAAAAAATTGACTAATTATTGAGGTTTTGGGGTCCCCTTTAAATTTTGCACCTAACTTAAGTGCCTCATATCTGGTCCCAGCCACGTACCAAACACAATAAAGTGTAAGACAGTGATACTGATGACTGTGATTGCAAATACTCTTCATCTGTGTAGCACCTGAAGGTACAAGATCAAAGGAATATGACTCCTTTCTCTTAGAGGCCAGAGTAAGATTGACTCTCACTTTATTGAGTTTTCTAACTTCTCAGAAAAACCCTCAGAGCAGGGAACTGACCTTATCGTACTGTCATATCCTGTTCACTGAGCTTTCTTTCTCCCTTTAGAGTATTAACTCCTAGAGGAGCAGGACCCAATCTCATTTGATCTTGGTTTCCCATTGCTTCCTTGAATGCCAGAATGCAGGAAAACAAAACACTGTCATATAAAATGAGAAGAACTGAACAACAACAAAAAAAAGTGACCAGTACTATTTATTGTGTCTTCCTGAGCTAGAACTAAAAGGAAGAGTTGGACATTAGAGTAGAAAAGATTGGGGTTATATATTTGTATGCCTTTAAGCATAAATATCTGTTCATCAGACTGATATGGGTAAATCTGTAGAGCATTCAGATTCTCTAGATCTCCAATGGGAAGGAACTTCCAACACTATGCTGTTGCTAAAAGCTCGGCCCTTGTCTGGATGCCAATCCAATAGCAAGGACATGGTTTTGAGAAAAAGGAAAAAGAAGCTTTATTGCTTTGCTAGCAAAGGAGAAACACAGGGTGTTCCTGTCCCAAAGGCTGTGATTCTGCCCATCAGTAGAAACAGGGGGCTTTTATAGAGGTGATTCAAAGGCTACATTCCATCTGTTGGAGTTGTTAATTCACTTGTTAATTTGGGAGAAATCATTTCTGAGATCTTCAGGTACCATCCCCAAAGTCTGGATTACTTCATTTCTATGGTAGGTGTGTACTCAAGGACAGACAAATCTGCCTAGGATGGGGATGAAAGGTAATCCTGTTTTCCCTGAGATTGAGGGTGGTGGTGGGAGATTAGGGAGGAGCAGAGAGAAAGGAAGAGGAAGAAATATGTCCACTTAAAAAATAAGTTGCAGTAGCAGAGCAGCAAAAGCTATATTCAAAATAAGAAGTGGACCACTGTTACAAGGCCTTGATTAGAAGAACACAGCCAAACCTCATCAATGATGGCAGGTGGAATGCCAAGTGCTCAGATACCTAAGCATCTAGCATATTGCCTGACATAATTTGAGGGAAATGTTTTATTTTTTAATTTTCAAAGGATGCCTTAGGCTCCTATTTTCAAATAATAAATAATACACTGCTTCTTAGGCCAATTATTTGTAGGAGTAAATATAAGAGGATTGAGTTTCAGGTCAAGGCTAAAAGGTCTTAAGGACTAAATTTTGGAAAGCTCTAAAATTAAGTAGGGGGTAGAAGAGAATCAAGGCTCAAGTTGTTAACTATGTGTCTCAACATGTGAACTGACATTTTAATGATAATGATTA